TGTTTAAGCTGGGGAAAAACAGAGTGAAAGAGAACTTGAATTTTTCTGTTTTAGCATTGCCTTCAGGGATTAAATTTCTTCTGCTCCTTTCCATGCAAAGCCCGGGAAACATCACTGAGACACTGCTGAGAAGACAGAAACAAAATTTCAAAAGCAATTTTCATATATCCGATTCTGTTTCAAAAAGGGAAATGCGTCAGGGATGGTGATTTTCTCTCTCTGATGGGCTGTATTCTGCCCTGCAGTCAGCCTGTTCCTTACCTTCTTCATGCATTTATGCAGAAGGTTTTGCCTGAGTCTTCTATGCTTTGGGAATATTGATTATCCCGTTAAATCTTATTGCAATTTAATTTCTCTGCTGGAATGCAGAGCACTTATTTTGAACGTCAATTAGAAGGCCCAGCCTGATGACTGCATAGGATCCAAGTAAGAAACTGGGAGCAGCAATGTGGGGGTAAAATCCAGCAAGCATTTCTGTGGTGAACAGCTGTCTGTCTTGTCAATGGGGAGCCCCACATGACCCCGCAGTTTCCAGGATTGGTGGCAGAAGGGGATATGACAGGACCTTGCCCCCTTCTGGTCTCTCTCATTTCATATAGGGCCAGCCCTACCTTTGACAGAGTGGCTTATTTTGAAGGTCATGAAAGGGAAGCAAATTGTTAGTTAGTTATTATTATTGCATTTTTTTTTAAATACCAGGAAGAGTGTTTTCTGCATCAGGTGCCAAAATCATTGGACTAGCCAGCCCTGGTACCTCACCACCTCAGGCAGCAAAATGTCCTGAGCCAGCCCTGTCAAGATACACCATTGAAACTGAAGACACCAGTCTAAATGTTAGGTGAGTTGCTCACCATTACTGAAATCTAGCATTGGCCAGAAGGACAGATCCTGAAGCTGAGGCTCCAATACTTTGGCCACCTCATGAGAAGAGAAGATTCCCTGGGAAAGACCCTGATGTTGGGAAAGATGGAGGGCACAAGGAGAAGGGGATGACAGAGGACGAGATGGTTGGATAGTGTTCTCGAAGCTACCAGCATGAGTTTGACCAAACTGCAGGAGGCAGTGGAAGACAGAAGTGCCTGGCGTGCTCTGGTCCATGGGGTCACAAAGAGTCGGACACGACTAAACGACTAAACAACAACAACAAAAGCATTGGCCATCTTAATTATTAATATCGTCATTATAGCGAGACGTTTATTTCAAATATTTCTACCCTGCCTTTCGACTGTCTCATCTTTAAAATGAAGGGCACTGGATTTTTTAAAAATAGATGGCCGATGTTTTACTAATGATTTGTCAAAAATCATACACAACTTGGTTGTAACAAAACCTCTATAAACGGTTCATTAAAAAATATTTAATAGCTCAATAAAAACAGTTAGAAACAAATTTAAAGAACAACTGAAACCGCTTTGAAGTTTTCTCTGCAATCAAGTGGTACATAAATTTTACAAAATAAAATAAGTAAGTAAATAAAAGTCAGCAGTGAACGAAAAAGAGATGAAGGGGCAAGATCTCACCAGGACAAGGGGACAAGTCAACCCCTCTCCTTAACTGTGACTCCGAAAGCAACCCTTATCTTCCATGGGCAAGGCTGTCGTTCACTCCTATGAGAAAAGTGCTTCACCATTCTTTTGTCCATCCCTGATACTGAGTGATTCAGCCTTTGCTGAAGGGATCCAGAACGAGGCATTGATTGGGTCCTTCCTATGTTTCGGACCCCTGTCTCCTGCCTCTTCATATGTCATAATGATGGAGATCTTACCCGTTCACGACAGAAATTGGACAGGCAGCCACACGGCAGCACACACAGCTCCATGTGACTCTGACGTAACTTATACCTTTATGGCTATACTGCCAGATTTATGTTTGTATTAAATTTATTAAAGTAGCACACTGTTCTCTGCCTGCTGCCTTCGTAGCTAAAGTACAGAGATTCACGGAAAACAAAGTTAAAGCAATGGAAAATCAAAGTCGTGGCCTCCTTGGTGGATCTCACAGAACACTCCTCGGGGCTACAAGCTTTCCTTTCTTCTAGTGTTATTTAATTAGCTAGTTAAATAGTTCAAAGTCTCTGCTGAAAGGATCATTTCCAGCAAGGAACAGCCAAAACTATAGGCTTTAGGGGACTGTGAGCCAACAAGTGACAATGGCTTTTGCTTGTGTTGGTGAAAACCTGACTCTGGGCATGTTTCCTAAGCATGGAAAGAAACCCAAATGCACAGTACCATCCCCTCCAACATTTCTCTGATGAAAACAGGGACGCCCTATTCCATATTATTATTATTATTATTATTATTATTATTATTATTATTATTATTTCCCTGCCCACCCTGCCCATCTGATTGGGTTGCCCCAGGCCCTCTCGGCAGCTTCCAACATATATAAAAATATAACAAAATATCAAACTTGGAAAAAATTCCTGTATAGGCCTGCCTCCAGATATCTTCTAAAGGTTGCATAGTTACCTATCTCCTTGGCTAGAGGGTTACATAACTCCATAACCTCCAGCATTTATCCAATGAATAAAGGAACCTCCTACAATCACCTCCAATATTTTTCTGATGAAAATAAGGATGTCCTAAGGATATTCCAGAATATTCCGGGATCAAATCAAAACAGGGATGGCTTGTGTAAATTCGGAAAACAGAGACACTTGGAGGGTCTGTGGTACATGCAAATGTGGTGAAGCCCAGCTACCTTCCTCCTATTGTGAGTAAGGCAACAGTGCCTGCAAAAAGATACAGTGGTGGCTCGCAAGACGAAAATAATCTGTTCCGCGAGTCTCTTCGTCTAGCGGTTTTTTCATCTTGCGAAGCAACCCTATTAGCGGCTTAGCGGATTAGCGCTATTAGCGGTTTAGCGGCTTAGCGGCTATTAAAGGCTTAGCGGCTTAGCTGCTAAAAGGCTATTAGCGGCTTAGCGGCTTAGAAAAAGGGGGGGAAGCGGGGGGGGAATCGCAAGACTAGCAAGACGTTTCGTCTTGCGAAGCAAGCCCATAGGGAAATTCGTATTGCGAAGCGCATCGAAAAACGGAAAACCCTTTCGTCTAGCGGGTTTTTCATCTTGCGAGGCATTCGTCTTGCGGGGCACCACTGTACCTCTCAACCTTGGGGGGGGTGATAAACAAAAAGGAAACCTCCCCCCCGATTCCACAGCTGAATTCTCTTCCTTGAGAGGGGAGCCCTGCTTCCACAGGCAAGGCAACTGTATCATGGAAGGAGGAGATACCTGTTAGAATTCCTGATCTATGATTGCAGTCATGGGATTTTTGTCTAGCACATGGCGGTATATGTTTTAACTCCACAGAGTGGGAAGTGATGGAAAAAAGATGTTTGTGTTACTGTGTTCCGTGAAGTGGGACTATTGTCCCTTGTCCTTTTTCTCTTTGCTGTCTGATGCTAGAGAGAGAGGGAGCCATGCTGCAGTGCTCCGTGTGTGTTTATATGTAAATAAAGTAGATTAGCCAAAATGCTGAGTTGCTGAGGTCTGTTGTGCAACTGCACAAACTCTGCGGATCCCTCAGTGTGCTGGTGTCAGTTGGCATCGGTCACTGTGATGTTTGGGCTGAAGAAAACTTTTGAAGCTCCCGAACGATCGACCAGGAGGGAGGGAACATGCCAGTTGGGCATGTGTCTCTGCCAGGGTCCTACTTGAGTGTAGGCTGAACTCCTGACAGTACCTGTGTCCCTCAGGCTCTGCCCCCCAATCTCAGCCCCACCCATGTCATCCTCCTGTTCCCCCTCCTCGTCCACCTCTGCCTGTTACTCCGCTCCTGAGCCCAGCAATGCCTTGGAACTCGTGACATAAACACTTACATTAAGACATGAACAATACATAATGAATTTATTAGCTAATAAACTTGTTTGCAGACTTGCATTTGTGCTTGTATCAGCCGAATTAAAAATTCTAACTGCAACATAGCTGGCAGCCAGATCCTGATCAAATAGCAACACTGAGGAAGGTAATTGCTGTCATTGAAGACCCTTTCAGGACTTTAAATTATGCTAGTGTTCTGTAATATACCTATCTCTATTCTGTTTGTATTAGATGGTGATGTGGCTCCCATTTCCAGGCCTCCTGCACTTCTCTGCCATCATCCTTAGTTTTCCTTGCCTCTGTTGTTTTAAATTGCTGCTCTGTAGTTAAGAAATCAGCAAGGCTTCCTGCTTTTTTCCCCTCCTAGCCCCCCCTTTAATTTCATTTGGCACCTTGCTATTACAGAAACTTGGATTTATTTCTTGCACTGACATTGCTTCCCTAATATTATTGTCTTATGCACCATCAACTCTCTCCCACTCCCTCTATGCACCATGATGCATGTATAAAGTGATATTTCACTTCTTTGTAGCTTCCAGTCTGTCATTGTTTTGCCGGAGGAATTCAGTCATACACCTGCCTTTGCACAATTAGAGTAGATTAAAGCACCCTGAAGCTTTTGCACAACAAACCTATTTCAAAGAAACACACCAATTTTTTTTGCAGGAACAAGGAAGTGTGGGATACTGATTGATGGAAATTGTACAACTTCTGCTCAAACCAATCAGAAGGCTCAATAAACAGTGAGCATTCTGATCAATTGCTTATGAAATTTATGCAGTAATGTAAGTTTTGTTTCAATAAATAAACATTATGTAAACTCATTTATGAACAATAGCACAGAGTTTAGCATTTAAACCAGATCCTTGGGGGATCCCACTACTTACTTTTCTGCATTACAAGTGCTGTCTGTTTACTCCTACCCCCTGGAACCAGAACACACTGTATATTTATACTTCCAAAAAACTTTTGACAAGGACATGCACCCAAAACTGTTTAATGCTCTTGTCATAGCATAAGATAGGCCATCTGATTGATCAGTAATTAGTTGAAGAACAATAAACATAGGACAGAAGCAGAGAATTCTGCAGCATTCAGGGGTCACAGGGTGAGCAGATTATTGGCCAAGTCTACAGATGCAACCCAAACATTCAAGATGTTGGACTGCAAAAAGCCTCTCCTCAAGCCAAGTTAAAAAGCAACAAACTGGCAAATCCTCCCTTTAAAAAAATGCTGGTATGTGTTAGAAAAACACTGGGGCCAAATTTGAATAGTAGGGTGTCTGACATCTGGTGGGTGGGGCTTTTGTGTTGTTCTCCGGAATCGGCCCCTCCCTTCATGTGTTCGGTTAGGTTCAGTTAAAGAGACCAACTGTCATTCTCGCCTCATGATGTTGTTTTCGTTTCTTCAGTTTACAATTTTCTTTATTATTGAAGCTTTGTTTGACATATACGTGAGTCGCTTACTTTGCTGAAAGGAAAGATATTCTGCTGAAGAATGGTGGAATATCCTCAACTTGGGTGAGTGAGAAGATATTCCCAGTCTGACAGGAGGATTGCTTTTTCAATCACCCCACCCTCCACAACAGCATGTTGGCTCTTTTACAGTGCATTGGTGAAGAAGAAAAGTTGCATATTTTGTCAAAAGACCAGCCATTTCCCCCTGGATAGTGAATTCTATCCAGACACAGTGCCTTTTTGATTATTTTGTCTGTTTCCCCTAGACTTTAATTGTGTCACCTCTATTTGACCTTATTCAGATGAACTTCCTGAAGAAGTGGCACAGGCATCATGGGTATTGATCTGTCTGATATCTTCCATGGGGAAAACGGAATTCATTTTTCCTCTCTCACATTTTCTTTCCTGTTTGTAGTTTCCTGTTTCCCTATTTGCCTGGTCAGAATAGGAAAGTGTTGTGTGTTATCTCTCTTTTTTGCCATGGACTTGTGTGGTGAGAAGGCTGGAAAGAAGCACTTGCCTTTGGGGAAGGGGAAGGTAAAAAGCAGGAATGACAGCTTTAGCTGTAGAGACAGGGGAAGAGACAGATGATTTAACTATTGTACTGAGAAGCAACATGACAGTGATAGATGGAATATGAGAAACCATGAAGAGAGAAGGATCGCAGCTGATGGCAAGCTTTCAATAGAGCAAACAGTGGCATCTGATTGTACTTTTGAGATGCAGGGGATGTGGTCAACAAACAGGATTGGAAGCTAGCAGTTAATTAGCTTTTGGCCACTGTAACTGAATTAGTATCCAAGTGGAAATCTAATGAAGTCTCATTTGAAAACTGAATTAGGAGAGTATAGAGCACTCTACATTTTAGCAAAGCTTTACATCTAGTAAAACCGCCCACTGCTTTGCACAGTGGTGGGGAACTATCCTCTTCTCCAAGGGCCATATTCTCTGGGGAAGAAAGTCTGTCAGGTGCTGAATGCCAAACAGTGGGCTGGATGCTGCAGCAGGTGGTGGGTGGGGCCAGAACCGCCATCTTCTGTCACTAGTCCCATCCGCACCATACATTTAAATCATTCTGCATTTATAGAACTATGGCCCTTGCCCAAATAGGCCTCCACAGCATCTTAGTTTTAGAGAGGCCATCTGTCTTTGCAACTTTCAGCATCATTGGGTAATATAAGTAACGTGTACATTTGATGGTCAGCGAAAGTACAGCACATTCCTTTCCTACCTCAGCCTCTGGAAAACATCACCAGAGCAATGCTGTTCTTAGCAGAAAATGAAATAAAAGTGTGATCACTCTCCCAGAATTCAACAGGAAAGCCTGGACAACAATGCTGAGGGAGTGCTAAATTATCCGAAGCAATTTAGGAAGGTGTCAAACTCAGCAGCATAGGATATGATTTGCATTCAGAGTGTTTCAGGCCTAGGGACCTCTGCCTAAGGCTTTAGAAGACTGCTGCCAGTCTTATTGAATGGTGCTGGGTAAGTGGTGTGACTTGGTTTAAGGTTGTTTCATACGACCAGTGTGATGAATGGATCCAGATATTCCAAGTGTTCTCTGTCATAGCCAGAGATTACACATCCAGATGAGTTTTATTGTATTGGCCCCACAAACACATTGCATTTTACTGAGGATGTAATACATGCTGCCTTTGGGTAATACTCAACCAAGTTCTAGTTAGAGCAGACCCAGTAAAATTTGAGTAGATTCATTGTTTTGTTTTTAATGGACCTAAGGTATTCATCTCCATTAATTTCATATGGATCTGCTCTGAGTATGACTAACACTGGTTACAGCTCCTTGATTTCAGTCACAGTATAGCACATTCCTTCTCACTCTGAAATATATTTCCAGGGAGATGATGTTACCGTAAGTGATAAGGTGTGCTACTCATATGACAAGCCACCTGTCTAACAAGCATATATAATTTTTAGACATACACTCTGTGGAACAGTACCCCTGTTGGGATACAACAGGTGCCCACTATCTGTAGTTTTAGGAAATAATTAAAAACGTGGGTTTTTGTGTGTGTTTCAACAGACTTTTCCAGCTGGATGAAAATGTAGGCATTAGGTATTCATTTTAGGGTTTTTAAAAGCCTACACTTGGATGTTCTTGTCCGGTTTTTAAAATAATTTTAGCTATTTTATGTCTGTAAAGTGGCTTGCAAGGCAAATAATAACAACAAGCTATCTGCCTCAAGGTTCTAGAAGGGTTATGTTTAACATAGCCATCTGTGGGTCTACACGTCCCACTGAAAGCAAACGGAGATTAAACTGAATTCAAAGATAATTTTCAGAAAGGAAGGGGGAAGAAGAGATGTCTCTAGCAGTTTGCTTACAATCTGAGCTCATGGAAACTGAGACAAGAGACCACTGAGAGCCAGTGTGGTGTAGTGGTTAAGAGCAGTAGTCTCGTAATCTGGGGAACCGGGTTCGTGTCTCCACTCCTCCACATGCAGCTGCTGGGTGACCTTGGGCCAGTCACACTTCTCTGAAGTCTCTCAGCCCCACTTACCTCACAGAGTGTTTGTTGTGGGGGAGGAAGGGAAAGGAGAATGTTAGCCGCTTTGAGACTCCTTAAAGGGAGTGAAAGGCGGGATATCAAATCCAAACTCTTCTTCTTCTCCAATATATGCATATGGTGGCAACTTCCGACCTTTACACAACTAAAGCGAAAAGCTACTTCCTTCCTCTATTCTGAACTTAAGCTAATGTTTATATGGTCACAAGGATATAAGAGTGTAGTGAGGCATAAAAATGGCACCCCTTTTGGAATCCATCACATAAAGTGGGATGATTCATGTTGTTAGTGATAAGGCCATACCCTCACAAAAATAATTCAGGAATGAAAACAGGGGCACTTGTGTATTTAGAGGACCTAGTATCTAAATAATCTCTACTCCCTTCCTACACACTGCTGAACATCCGTAGAGGCAATAAATCATTTACAGTATATTCTTATTTAATTGTCCAATATCTTTCAAAACCATCTGTCATGCAACATCAAGCTTGATGATTGTAGTGGCAGATTAATATTTCCAGAAGGATAAGCACCAAGTGTTATGTTATTACAATGATCCCTTGAACAATTTTTAAACAGGTCCAGTTCTAATTATTTTGTGGGAGGGAGAAGATCTTGTAGATGTCCGCTGATGCAAATCCACAACCAGGACAAAACCACAAAAAAAAATCAAGGATAATTGCTTGGTTATTTAATATATATTTTAGGCAGTTTGGAACATATCAAGGCAGTTTGGAACATATAAAGCCACACAATGATGATAAAGTTATTAAGGAATTATTAGCTTGCCTTGAACATCCAAAGCAGTATAGCACACATGCCCCAAAGCAGCACTAAGCAACCTGAAAAAAACAGAATGGGATTCACACAATCACCTTTAATCAGTTTTCCTTAATTCATAAATATACCCCAACACCCACCATTCCATCCTCATAGGGGTTTCATATTAACAGAAGTAAATGCCCTGGCAAGGTCTTCCTAAAAATGCTCCAAAATCTGAGTAAGAAGCAGATGCTCCCATGTGTGTTAACAACTGCCCCTAGAGCCTTAATTGAAGAAGTGCATGAAGCAGCTCTAGAAGTACCAGCATCCAAGCATGTTATTTCATGGAGAGGGTTGTTGTGCTCTGGTCCTACTTGTGGGCTTCCTCTAGATATCTGGTTGGCCGCTGTGAATTACGGATGGGCAAATCTGTCCGTTTCTGTTTCTGTCAGTTCTTCATTTTCTCAGCCTTAAGCTCAGTTCTCCACATCAGTTTGTAATATTCTGGGGTTTGTTTTTTTTAACCCTCATGAGGATTCATAAGCATTTTAGTACAAATGTTTCCTAACATGCACATTTCCATGAAAATTTCTCTCATACTTACATTTTTGCCAAGCAATTTCCCCATAGGTAACAAATTTGTAAATGTTCTTTTCACTAATATATGCATTTGTAGGGACACTTTACCCTAGTAAGTACATTTCTGTGCACATTTCTTAGCTGTAGTACTGTGCTGCAAAATGCAGAGGTGTGTGGGTTTCAAAGTAGCACTGCGTTTTGGTTTCTTTATTGTTTAGGAAAGTGTGAGGTAGGTTCCTCTTTCACTGAATTTAATTTCTCCTTCACCACTGCTGTGATTACAAGATATGGACCTTTGGTCTGATCCAGCATTACTTTTTCTATGTTTGTGATGAAAATAGTCAACCATAACAATCAGGGCTTTTGTGGGACAGTGTTCGACAAGAGTCAGGATGCAGAAAAATGGGGCTTTCCCATGAAGATTGAGCTGATAAGAATGTATACAAAGTTAACAGTGGTATGACATATTGTACAGTTTGGGAAATCTATGTGTATGCTTTCTATTCAAAATCACCAACTATGGTAACTGAAGAAATATTTGTTCATACAGGGCTGTAACTGACTTAGGCCCCATCTACGCCATATCTTTGGAGAAGTATCATACCACTTTAAACAGCCATAGCTTTCCCCCAAAAAACCTGGGAACTGCATTTTTTAAAGGTTCTGAGAGTGGCTAGGTGATTCTTATTTCCCTCAGAGCTACAATTCCTGGAGTGATTTATCAACCAATCCCTCTTCCCAGGGAATTCCCCAAGGGTGGGAAAACTCCAGTTTATGTGCTAGACTTTGCCTGTCAGGCTTCCATACTGGACCCACCAGGCCATTTTCCCTAAACCATGGCGAAATGGACATTGACATGGCTATAAAGGAGCAGCAGCGTAAAGCATTCCTTTGCTGGAGCACACCTTCTTTGAATTTCACCAAGTGGTTTCCATGGAAACTGCTGCTAAAATGGAGGGCAAAAACCCTCTGTTTTACCAGCAGTTTCAATGCTTGGTGCTACAGGAACAGAAAAGCCCCTGTGCTGCAGTTCCCAAGTGCCCGACAACCAACTGGATATTGGGTGCTTAGGCAGCACTGCGTGACAGAGCTTTGATGGATTGAAAGGACAATTTTCCTGTCAATCATCTTAGGTAATAATGACATTAGTGAGTTGTCGCACCCACCTTGTCAAAGGCTCTGGCCTGCTGGGCCAAAAAGCTTCCCCACTTGAGATAGCACAAGCAAACTTAGTATCTATGACCCTACGCACAAATAGTGAGATTTTGTGCCAATCACTGTTGAATAAGGTGTAGCTGCACTCACACTTGAAAAAGCAATCTAAAGAACTGTTGCAAAGCTGGAAGTCAGGGTACAACATAGGACAGTGGAGAAGGGGCAGAAACTCAGCCAGGGTGAGATTTTTCAGAGTTCTCAGACATGTGGGGAGTCTCCATAGGTACAGGAGGCCACCCACTTTGAGCTGTATTTACATTTGACCCAAATGAGCATCTTAAGAAAAAATGATCCCCACCTGGAAATCAAGTACTAGAAAAGCATAATATGTGTGATGCACAGACACAATTAGAACACATTGAGAGTCCTATTGATTTCAGCCGCAGAAAGTTAAGAATGCCCTTATTGTTCTCCCATGACTGAAATCAATTGTACTTAAATAGTCTGGATTGCATCCAATGACTGTGCAAGCTCTTTGTTCAAACTAACCCAGAACCTTCATTCTATCAACAAGGGCTTAAAAAAAGAAGCTGTTCATGGAAAAACACATATTTAACAGGTAAACAACCCCCCCCCAATAAATCTATACAGAAGGGTTTTCATCTGCAAAAAGGAAAATAACATGTCTGGCAAAATTTGCTGCTAATTCACACTGTGGAGAAAATGGAAGGCAAGGCATGGAAGGCGAACAGCTTGAGGTGATAAACAAGGGCCTCCCCTCCTTCCTGCTTCTCACTTGAAGAATGATCAATTTGCCCTCTCTGCTGCTCCATTTTTGGACGACCAAAAATGTCTGTTAGTGGCCATGCCAACAGCAAAATTGTAGGACCACATCTAAATTCAAGTGAAGCAAAGCAGCCATTTTGAACATGCTATTGTCTGTTCAGCTGAAAATACAGCAGCAGAAAATTGATGTTTTCTCTTTTCATTGCTGATCAAGATGACTCAACAACTTCAGATAAGAAGGTGCGCACAGTCAGTTCCCGAGCCTGCTTAGCATGCTCATATGATAACATCCATCCCCCGCCCTGTCTCAAGCGAACATATCCTATTTTGCCAAACAACAGTTCTCTGAAAGCACAGATAAGAAAGTTGTGCCTGGGGATCTAAAGCTATTTCTGACTAGCAACAGGTAGAAAAAGGCTGGCAGGGGTTGTTTAAATATCACTCTCACATAAATACAGTTTTCTGGTGATGTTTTGCAGATGTTTTCTGGGGCTATTGCAGGTTGCGAGTAGAGACCAGTCCATTTTTCTGGATACTTTTGTTCCACACGCAACAGGGAGACAGATGTCAGGCCTATGAGGGAGATAATTGAATAGAAGGAGATGTGGGCTGGAACTCTCTTAGCCCTGTCAGTGCCAGTTCTGCAGAGACAGTCATAAGTGCTCAGTAAGAACTTGTTCATAAGCTTAGTTGACCTGGTGGGGGAACTGGATTTTCATTCACGAGAGACATCTGACGAAAGAAGACTAACTCCTGATGCTAATTCTACAATTTTCACCACATCAGTGAAACCAACAACACCAAAAACTACTTGCAATCACATTCAGAAAATTGGTGGTACAATGTAGAGCGGAAGAGAGCTTACTGAGTGAGGCAGTCGCCATGTGCAGCTGTCGAAAAAAGGCAGCACCAGCAGGAGCCAGAAGCAAAAGTTTACATCAGTGGTTTCCAAGAATACTAAATAAAGTGCTTGTTAGTTTATCAGGCTTTATTTTGAAGAGTTGAACTACTGATATTGACAACAGCAAAAAAAATTGAGGGATAGTGATTCTTCTGGGCTAAAAGGGAAACGGCTTCAGCTGGCTGGCTAAACCAGGTGAGGGTAGCCGATGGGTCTCAAATCCTTGGTGAGTAAGGGTCTTCCACTGTATGTGAAGACAGGCTTCGGCAGATTGAGCGGACAAGACCAATAGTGGGTCCAATGGTCAATAAGTTTCTGCATGTGCTGTAGAAGTGAGGGGCAGAAGGTTGTCAGCCTGGGAAGGGAGGCCAACTAGGAGAAGGAAAACTCTGATCCTAAACCTCCTCTGCCTTGTGGGAGATATACAGGAGAAGAAAAGGCTAAGAAGCAAACTCTATGCCAGGGATGTCCAACTCCCAAGGTCAAAGTTGTTGAGCTTTTTTTAAAGAAATGTGTGGAAATTTAGTAAAGGAGAAAGGGGCAAAGGGAAGAAGTCGCTCACCAAAAAATCGCTAAGAGAACAAAAGAACAAACAGCCTCACAATGAAAATTCCGTCTTCCATTCTAGCGATCATGTGCGGATGGGGCGAGGCTGAAAGCTCTTATGCCACTGCAAAGGAAAAGGAGACCGCAGTCGACCGGAACCTCCATGGGATCGACCATGAGATCCCAATCAACCTGTTCGACATCCCTGCTCTACACAAATCCAGAGTGGCGTTCCTAAAAAGGTTGGATGGTGTCCTGTCTTGCAGCCAAGCTGGTGCCAAAAATATTGCTCTGCTTTCCTTTGGAACACATAAGTGAGGCCAAGAGAGGGGTCTTGTTGTCTGGGCAGCCCAGGACCTCCATGCACACTGCCCAGGCTAGCACCTCATGGAGGTCAGTTCGGTGCTCTTAATGCAGCAGTTTGACTTCACCCGAGGTGCACTCCATTGTCTCTTGAGACAGACAGATACCAACAGCCAACATCATGTTATATACAGTGGTACCTCGGGTTACATATGCTTCAGGTTACATATGTTTCAGGTTACAGACTCCGCTAACCCAGAAATTTTACCTCGGATTAAGAACTTTGCTTCAGGATGAGAACAGAAATCATGCAGCGACGGCGCGGCAGCAGCAGGAGGTCCCATTAGCTAAAGTGGTCTTCAGGTTAAGAACAGTTTCAGGTTAAGAACGGACCTCCGGAACGAATTAAGTACTTAACCTGAGGTACCACTGTAATCATATAGCATGTGGGGAGGGGAGGTTTAACCCTCCTCTCTTTAGCTATTATCCTGCCAACATTTGTCATGTGCTACAATTCATGATAGAAAAAAAATCTTATTGGCAACAATGGGATTCCCCTGCCCTCTAAACAGAGCGTGAGATCCTCCCCATCAGGATCTCAGGAGGGGAGGGAAGGACAATTTAAAAACAAAAATGAAAACCAAAAAACCCTGCTGTGGCTTTAACAGTTAAAACACAGAGGCAGCTAGTTCAGAATGAAACTTGTAAAAAGAGTCACCAACACCCACAACTGAGGTCAATCACTAATCAACAATTTCCTGCCTTGAGGCAACACTTACTTTGCTTGACAATTTAGCTAGTGCTGGGAAGGGTATCATGACCTGTAAAACACTTGAGTAAGCCACACTGGTACTGTGAAGCCCTGTCTTTATTAGATTGGGGATTTGGAAGAAATGATCTGTTTCAGAATATTTGTCTACTGGTCACGACCATGCTCCACCATGACAAACAGAGCTGCTGCAGAGAATGTTTGGAAGAGATAAATAGATTAAGGGGATTAGATGTTTACTTCTTCTTAGGTCAGAGAACCTACATATTTGTCTCTTATGGTTTTCCTAATCCCAAGATCTGAAAACTAGGGCTGAGCCAAAAACATCTTACAATCGTTTCATGTTTGATTCTTTGGGCCCTACCAGACTGGGTTTCCTTTTTGTGTGGGTGCATTCTGTGCCATATTGTTGGTACCATAACAGTGCCTTGGTGGTCGGTTTATATTAGACTGTCCACACATCATTCCACTTTACTAGTTGATCCGCATTGCTTCCTTAGTGTCTGGAGGGACACACTTGTGCTATAGTGCAACAAAACTGGAACGCCCTGTCTGCTGCAGAACACATGGTAGGTGTCACAGTTTGAAAGCTTGGAGCAGCCTGGAATTACTCAGCCCCATGACCCATTCTGCCCCATTCAGCATTGCTTAAAAGGCAAAATAAATCTGTACTGCAGAAAAGTCTTCAATATTAGTTATAATAAGATAAATGTTACAAAATAACAAGTTGATGCATTAGAGGCAAGCAGTGGGCTTCAGTGGTTAAATAAACATCCCTCTTTCTGGTCCCTCTAGCACACAAACTTGGCTTCGCAAGTCTCATCTTTCCGTTGTGAGAGCTCTTTCTGGTGCTGAATCATCAGGTAACTTATCTCACTGAAATGGAAAAACACAAGCCCCCTTTGACACTTTTGCCAGAGTGGAACCTCTTGCCTAAGGTAAACTTTCCTTTACAGCATTTTAAATGCTATGCATTCAAAACCAGCATTTGATGTGCATTAAATGTAACTTTAACAACTTATCAACATGCATCTTGTGAACTGCCCTGAGACCTGTGAGTATAGGGTGGTATACAAATTTAAGAAATATAGTAATTATAATAACCATCCCAATACCACCATGAGAAGATATCATCCTGAATACATGATGTTGAAAAATTCCTCCAAGACTGGTCTCTTCCTTAGCAGCCTGGCCTATGCATTCCTAATTCATTTCCAGTGCAGCTTTTCCATGATCAAAGGTGAAGCAGGGAAATGCACAGCTTGGAGAAAGAGCCCAGGGAGGCCTGGTCTCTCAGACAGCAGGACAGGAGGCAGAAGCAGATGAACGTGATGTGCCAGAGATGCAGTGAACAGGGATTTAAAGATGTTGCTGGGAAAGCTGTGGGGAGAGCACAGGATGCTGCCAGCTGGCACTGACTGATGGAGACTGAGAGCAACTTCTCTAAAGCGGGACTAGGAGAGAGCTGAAACTCTTACTATGCATGGAAACCTCACATGGTTGCTGGAAAGTGGGATCACATAGTATCTATTGAGCCCCATGTAAAAACTTTGTTGGGGTATTAAATCTGAACATCAGAAGATATCCTAATAACTTCAGGCTGACAGTATTTACCCAGGCTCAAAGGAACTCCCACCCTCTATGTGAACAGAGGTTTCTCTTAATATACACATTTTTGGCAAGCAACTTCCTCTAATATAATCCTTTCCCCCCATATATTATTTTCACTAATGCATGCATTATGTACACACTTTGCCTAATGTATATACTTTGTATATTATTATTTTTTGGTTGGCAAATGCACTGCAGAATTTGGAGAAATGTGAACTTTGAGAGATAGCAGCATTTTAGTTTGCGCTTTAATTTGCACTTCCAGAACCGGTATGCAAACAGAAATAATTTATCCCCTATTCGTATCAGACATAATGTTGTGACGGCATTGACAAAAATCAGATAACTAGCCACTGCCACTGTAGATTCAACAGCAGTGTAAGCAGATGAGTCAGAGCCTGTGACGGCAAAGGAAAAGGAAAATAGCACAGGGAACAGTGTAGGAGGCAGTACATTCACCTAAAATGAGAGGGATACGGTCAGCATGCATTTTTTGGTATACAGGACTAAACTGCCTCTAGGCTAGACTACTGCAAGGTATGGGGGGGGGAGGGAGCTGCCTTTGAAGATTCATGGAAGTTTCCATTAGAACCAAATGCAGCAAGAAGATAACTCAGTGGGACAGTTCTACTGAATATATCTCACCAGTTCTTAAACAGCTTATTGAATGCCAGCTGGTTTCTGGATCCAAATCAAAGCATCCATATAGCCATAAATTATTTGGGACTTGGAAAGCTTTTGTAGCATGATGCATTTTTGGCTGACTTAGAAACTTGTCCATAAACTTGCTCTTGGTACAATGTGCAGCACTCAAGACTGCTGGCAGTCAATGTAATGTTGCATCTATTTCATTGCCTCCTGATTTGAATCCAGATCCCATTCAAGGTACTGTTTGTGACCTTTACCAAGCTCAGAAAATGGAGGGTTCTTCTCCTGAACAACAAAAAGAGTTTTATCTTTTCTCTCCTGGACTATACACAAGTATTATGTTTGAGCTCTTGACATGCTTGCAATTCATTGCAGACAATCCGGCCTTCATAAAGTTAATAAATCAGTGGGGATGGAGTAATTCATTGATCCTAAGAGCCCGTCCTCTTATTTTATTTCTATGTGGCTACCCTCTGCTTCAAGATTGTGGCACCCAATGCATAAATTACTGGTGTAGAAGGGCAAATGTGTGTCCTTTACATGAATATTGTGTATAATGAGAGCGCCTTCTTCATTTACACGCCTCACACATAGGAGGAAACGACCAAAACCCAAAATGATTTAAAAACAAAAAAAGAATTGTAAATCAGATGGTTAGAATACAAAAATCAACTGAAACTCAAATTTTAAACTGACACTTTACAGTGAAGTTTGTGCTGGTGTGGAACTCAGGTTTGCAAATGAAATTTCTGTCCCCCTGGTGGGTTTTGCTCCATAAACCTAATTTAACCACCACACCCCAAATTGGGTTTTGCCAAACAAATTTCATTGAGCTGGTTAAAAAACTTAGCTGTTCTGTCAGGGTTTGTTGAAGCCCATTGGTCAAGGAAGAGTCCTAAGGGTCTGGGTGGCGTTAGAATGGGGTGAACTGGAGGCAGCAGGCAGCAGTGCCTCAAATAAAAAGATGTGGGTTACAGGTAGCAAAAGTCCTAAAGCTGAGGCAAGGCAGGGAGCCAGCCAGATGCAAGAACTGCAGGTTGCTTCTAGGGGGGAACATTATTCTGACAACTCCCTGAGCAGATCTGAACCCTAGGTAGTGAGGCAAGCGTCAAAAACTGCCTAGGTCTATTTCCCTTTAATGAGAGCTGGATGCTCTGGCTTAGGATCTATTCACCCTGGCATTTTGTATTCTCTTGATATGCCTGCTAATCGGTCAGGAATCTTCAGTGATTGGTGAGGCAGTTCTTTGGTTGTCTCAAGCTGATCTGCTTGGTTGGCTTGGGCTGACTCTGAGAGGTCTGGGTTGTTGATTCCTATTGGACAGGAGGCTTCTTCTGTGCTGGACTTCATCATAGGCTCCATCCCAAATGAGGCTTCAGATCCCCAGAAGTTGGGTGAGCTCTGACCCTCATGTCCTTCAGGTCTGTATCGGCACTATTACCCAGGGATAATGTCCAGACTTGTGACATTCCTGTTCTGTATTGGTTGGGACATGACAGTAGGATATATTTCTGTTTGCTTTCTGTTTGCTGTTCATGCATAAATTTCAGGCTTTTGGCTTGATACTTTTGAGATAAGTTCTCCCATAATTGTGCTCTAAGGAGCAACCCTTTAGATAAAAATTATTATCCATCATAAAGCTTGGGTGCCATCAGGACCAACATCAGCTTAAGTAGTTCATATCTATTACTAACACTGTTTAGATGTCTAGCTTCCTATAGGTGTAACAGAGAAATATGAAAGCCATATTTCATATTTCATATGACCTCGTCCTTCTTCTTAGTGATTCATAGATCATTGGCCCAATGCAGAGAGGTGTCTGTGCTTAAAGTTAATGATGCAAAACTGGAGATCTTACTAATCAATATAATTGAGAATGAATGAGAAACTATTCAGACCCATTCTGGTTATACGTGGGTTATGGGATGTGTGGAAACATTTACATTAATTACATTACAGCCAATTACATTACGGGGGTTTACCTTATAGCTAATGGTTCAGATTTAATTTACTATATCAAATCCATTAGGTGCATTGAATTCAAATGCACTGGAAAAATTATCATGCCTTATAAGAACACATGAATTGAAAATGGTCGATCTTTCTAATGTACTATTTCATTTACAAACAATTCCAGTCAGGGGAGGGAAACACAGGCCTCTGGACTGAATGTAGCCCTCTGGGTTTCACTATGGGCATTTATTTATTAAGAGCTATTTCACAATGGAAATACCCCCAAACACCTTGTATCAAGGGGTAGTTTAATGAAGTATAGCATTACTTTAAAATGGAAAAAAAAATCTACCTAATTAGGACTGGTTTGCACCCTAATTTCCTGGGGGAAAGAGGCCCCATTTTTAACACGTTAACTCTAAACAACTCTAAAATGTGTATAAAAGGTTTATTTGTCTCAATCCTATTTTTATATTCTGATTCTGTCAAGCATTTAAATTATTATTAAAACTGAATTTAAGGGACGCTGAGGAATGTGATACAAATTGTCTATTGGACCTTAATCTGATCTTTGGGAACTGAAAAGAGACAATGTAATTGGTGGTTATATTTGAAATGTGTGGTTAATGAAATGTTGAAGAACGTATTGGTCTTTTGTAACTGAAAAATCCTCAAATTAACTATATAAAAAACCAGAAAGTCACAGGGCTGTCTTTCACTTGTAGGAGGTCTCACAAGTAGGGCAGAGGTCTCAGTAATTCTCCTAGATGAGCTTTATACCTAGGATGTGACCTGGCCTTTACATAGTACTGTACCACAAAAATATTATAGCTATTTGATTACAAAAAAGAGAGCGGTAATGAGAGACTTTGGGATATATAGCTTTAAACTTTGAGTATTTCAGTTCTTCAGGTTAGTGGAATAAATGTCAAGTACTTCAGGCATAATAGCATAATCAGGAATGAGCTGGAAGACATGCCACCTATTAGTGCTCCATGTACATGGCGATTTATTATGATTACACTTTCATTGCACATATGGCTTGAGATGGGTGCTATAGGTGACTTTCTTCTTCTTCTTCTTTTTAAAATATGATTAAAATTGCACATCACCACAGAATCTAATTTCCATATAATTAAACCCTTGCATGACTGGTTGGATTTTTGGAAGATTGGATTCCCTAGCATCCTTCGAAACTGGACTCCTCTGAAAATCTTCCAAAATGGGGAAAACTGACACCTAGCTCTCCAGAAAGTCTTAACTTTAAATGGAATGCTGTTGAAAAAGAATTGAAATGTGGAGCATGCAATACTTTTGCTGTGAACCTCTTTGTGAAATTCAAAACAAGAAAGTGATATATGGTGGCAGGATAACTGCTCCTTTTATCATCCAGACTGCACACCGTCTCATTCAGTTTTGGAATGAATTGGTTACGGTATGTGAAGGATGAGCTCCTCTACAGGAGACAAAGCACTTGCATTACAAAATGGACTAAAAGCACAGCAAAGTTAAATTCAGTTTGCTAGAATGTAAACCTCAAGCTCACTTTCATTGCCTGTGTTCAGCTGTTGAAAGTAAGAAGTACTATTAGAGTTCTTTTAGTTATGTGTGGGGTACCTTACCCTCACCATCTGGGAGGTTGGGACCCATTAGCTGTGATTTCTGCATTGCAGGAGATTGGACAATATGAGTGTTGGGGTCTTTCCCACTTCTACAATTCTATGAT